ACAGAGTTCACAGCCCGGGGCCACCAGACCCGCCTCGGGATGGGTCTGGAGGATTTGCAGAACATGGGCCCAGGTCACGGTCGCCGCCTGGGCTGCGTACGCCATACACGCCTTGGCGGTTTGGTCAAGGACGCTCGCGAAGGCCGCGTGGTCGAGCGGCGTTCGGGCCATCTTGAGAAGCACATCCCCACAGTGGTTCTCCAGTACGACGTGGAGTACTTCAATTTCATACATCACACAGGAATGGTTATTAAATAACCGTATCGGGAATTCGGTCAGCTCCTGAAAACCGGGATAGGATTCCTTATTGATATCAATATCCTGCGGTTGATGGACACGGCTAAATATCGGCATTTTGAGTATAGGACTAACGGTTGTTTTGGTATTTAGATCACCAGCAAAATAGATCGATTCTTTTTTTTCCAACACCTATAAAGCGACTGTCGTATCACCCACTAAAAGACGTGATATAACGAGATGCGCAGTGCTGAGCTTTAGAAAGTATAAGCCCTAAAAAAAGCACACCTTAAATAATACTAATAACGTTTACTGTATTGATCTTCCTCAGGAATACGCTTTTTTGTTGTTGCGTATGTATCAACGATAAAAGCGATAATTGAAAAAAAAAGAATAATTCACGCACATTGACAACTTATCACATTCAGCTCGTTAGTTGTAAAAATTGCAGGGATCAAACTGCACCCATATTAATAGCAACCACAAAGATACCATAGAACTCTCTTTGTCTCTAGGGGATGTCGTCCAACCGTGAGCACACTTACTTAGCGAGTTAGTATCTTATAAAATATATATTACGAAAAGAATTCTATAAGATCGACATTGTTAAATGACGAACTTCGGCGATACATCTTGAGACTAAAGAGAATAAGGATAATAATACCAAATAAAGTAGAAAACGTGAATCTTGTCCAAGTTTTTTTCTTCAGTTAGGTGATCACAACATGCATCCCTTGTTATTATGATTAAGTGAACTTCAGACCTAATAAACGTTTCTTAAGTGGCTTGCAACACGACAGAGTGCTCAAGTAAATAATCAATGAGCAGCTGCGGAAACACAACGCGAAATACGGACAGCGGCATCGATGATATCACACGAAGTGGAGTTTTTTGGGTGCCGGTTTTACTTTCACAGTCCCCCTCGGCTCCAGCCTCGCTAGAGTCGCTACTTCTTTCTTTAGCGTTCATCCTTCTAGACCTCACTTCGGAAACGTTTTCCGTAATCGCGTAGCGCACCACCGTGCCCTCGCTATGCGGCCTCATCAAATCCTGCGAGGTAGCCGTTAAGGCTGGATACCCCGCGACGCTTTCGCGCCGCAGTCGCTCGGCCTCCTCCTCCCCGATCCACGGTATAAAAGTCACCGGCTTGGCGTACACGTGGCCGCTCAGCGTGACCTCCGGGGGGGCGATGCCCAGAATCTCTAAATCCCCCGCCCTCCCTCGCTCATCCCGCGTAATCGCGGAAGACGTTGCCGAGGCGAAGTTGTCTTGCAGCTTCGTAATCGCATCGCAGCCCATACAACTGTGCATTAGACTGACCGCAAACTTTTCCTTCCAGGCCCGCTCGAGGTGCTGCGCGGGGGCGCAATACCGCAAGCCCTCCATCCGGCGGCGGCGGTGGGAGGTGGTCATATTTTTTGCGTATCGCCGCGTATACAAAAGCGAAACCGTCTGCTCGGTCAGGATCATCTCACCAAGAAGAATAATGGAGGCGTCGGGACCGGGGGAAAGTGCGGGCATTGGACTGTCCAAACGCCGGGCCGGGCTTGCCGATATGGATGACGCTTTGTTGGATTTATACCGCAACAGCAGGCAGGATAATGTCTCGAGATCGTCTTTTCGGCCTGTGTGCGGTTCAACCGACCGGCCGCGCTTGCGGGTTTTCGATTCCTCGCGGTTCGTGGCCTGAATATCGGGGTCCCCCACCAAACCGTTTCCACAACGCCATGCCTCAATGCATTTATCCGTGTATTCTATTTGCCTTTGGTCGATTTTTTGTATGGCCTCAGTGCAGCTTTCAAGCAAGTTGGAGCGCGGCTCCCACGTTCCCTGTTCACTGTCATAACCTTTCCAATGAATTTTGTATTCAATCGCTCCGTCATCTTCGCGGACGCGTCGATCTAATACATGCTCTACTACATAATAATTCATTTGTAGACCCCAGTGTTTTTACTTATACTGCGTTTGTCGTTGTCCCTGATTGTGCACGTATTGATTACGCTTGATTTTGTGTTATTGCGAAAAGTGTTATGGATAGCCGTTTTAAAATGGTAATGTGTTGAATCATATGGAATAACGTTACATATATAAAAAAGTTGCAGAACAGCGAAAGGAGTTCAACATTCTTCTACAAGCGTAAGGAAGATTCGATTTCACTAATTCACAAGGAATCATCACAGGTAGACGGTGGTATAGAGAATAAATTTTGAATACCTTATCTAAAACAAATACTACAAGAGTTCTACTTTCGCTCCTAACTTTTCAAAAAGCTCCTTCAACTTTTCAGCATCGGACTTCGACATGTTGGTGACAACCAGACCAGGGGCCTTTTCGATCGCCTTTTTTGCGTCTGCGATACTTAAACTGGTCACTGTACGCAACTCTTTGATCAACTTTATCTTTATTTCGGGTGCATACTTATCCAACTTCACATCGAAAGTATTTTTTTCGATCTTCTTCTTCTCTTTAACAGGTTCCGCGGTGGCACCGGTGTTCACCATTTCCGGCGCCGCGGTTGCCGCGGGTACTGCCGCCATGGCCACATTCCCACCACCGCCACCACCCCCAAGACCTCTTAAGAGCGCTTTTTCATAAAACTCATCATTATGTCCGAGCTTTTTGAAAATACGACGCTGCAGGTCTGAAAGTTCTTTCAGTGTAAGCTGCGAGTAGGCGGTTGCGAGTTCCTCAATCTTGGGGTTACTTGGACCGGTGGATTCGGAAGAGGAAAGACGCATCACGAATTGTCTGAGGACACCACTTACTAAGATACGACGCATAAAGGCAACTTATTCGTAGTTTAACGGTATAATAACAATAATAATAATAAAGAATATAGATATGTTTTGGCGACTTAGAAAAAAAAAAGATACAATAGAAAGAAATGTAAAGTATAAAATGAAAGAAGAAATGATAACTCTATGAAATGAATAAAAGGAGAAAAATATAGTAAATATATCTCATGATTGCTATTATTTTATAGCTTAAGAAAAAGGCAAGTTGAATAAATCCTCGGTTCAACCCCATACTAACCACACAAAACAAGTGATTCATTTATTAAAGCTTGAAATAATTTCAAGAAGATTGATCCTGATACTCGCCTCGTGTGCCTCCCCCATGGTTTGGAAAACTACCCTTCCACGCCGTAAAGACCGGTGCAGGAAGATCAAAGCGAAATTCTTCATACATCCCCGGACACCAGCTCAGAAGATGGGTGAAGAAGGTGTAATTTTGAGCATTCCGCTCCCGGTGCAGGCGCTTCGTGTAGGACTGATGGACACTTTCTTCTGAAATGCACAATTGGGTGCCATTGATCAGACGTAGCTCCTGCAGCGTCCGAATAATATCCGCCTGGGTCATGCAGGTTGCCTGTACAAGGTAATCAATGGTGGTGCAATGCCCCTCCTCCATGGCATGTGCCAATGCCACCAATACTGTATCCGACCAGTACCCTAAATATACTTTTTTTCCAAGATCACTCAGAGGCTTTTCAGGCGTTCCGATTTTCCCCTCTCGCCTGGATAATTCGTAGCTTAACTCAATCAGGAAACGGCCGATGCCGCGATTTTGGTACTGAGGAAGTACCAGAATACACGACAAGTTGTACAACTCCGGACTTTGCTTTTCTTTGCTAAAGTACCCCAGCACCTCTAGGCCGTGCGGTTGAATCGCGCAGATCACGTAAAAGAGAAATGGCGTCATATTGTGGTCTAATGCCTTGTGCTCCAAAAATAGTTTGGATAGAAGTGCGAGATGTTGACAAAAGACCGGTTCCAGCTTCCCATCAATCTCGAGCACTGTGATCAGCCGTACGGGGTCCCGATAGATCTCACTCCCGGGCGGATGCCGCGGGCAAGCCGTCTGAATATGACGTATCACGGTCTCGTCATCGGTGTATGGATTCAAACAAAAGGTGCAAACGTGCAAAGTGAGGGATTTCACCACCACCGCCGTACTCGCCGCCACGGCCACCGCAGCCTCGGATCCGGACGGGGCCGCGGTGGCTGTGGGCCGCAGCTGTAATTCGGTATTCCCCGAGAAGTACTGCGTGCAGGCCTGAAGACGCTGGTGAACTACCGAACGCGCGAGGTGGTAGGGGCTGAAGTACCACGCCTCCACCTCGTAAGCCCCCATGCAGATGGAATGGATATTCTTAGTACGAGAAAAGAACGAACTGTCCTTCCGCGCCCTAAAGGTGGAGATCTTCACCGCATGTTGTTGGGTATCGCCGCCCTTCGCGGTCGACGTGGTCGCGGTGTTTAGGCCGAGGTTGGGGCTGGTGGGGATTCCCTGCTGCCCCACCGCCTTCTCAGCCGCGACGCTCTGTCGACGGGTCACGACACCACCACTACTGGGGGCTTTGATTTGCTGTAAATGATTGATCCGGCCTTGATGACGCTCCTTCATCTCGTTCGACTGAAGCCAGCGATCCATACGGCTATCTTGATCCACATATCGAACATAATACAGATATTCACCCGTTTCGGCTTCTACCCCTACCTCGATAACGATGGCCGCATGAAACGTCCCGTTAAGGAGTCCGTATACTTTCTGTTTGGCTTCATACACCGGTGTGGCAGACATTCAACCCCAAGTTAGTGTACCGATATATCTAATATATTTAGCTACGTAAAGAGAGAGATAAAAAGATTAAATCTATAAACAATATATTGTTAACCATGATTTCATGTTAGCTTCCTTTTTGTTATCATTATCGTTTCTATTGTGTTGGGGTTGTCATTTTATTGAGTATTAAAATGATAGAAGAAGAAAATGTCACTGGACACAGTTTCAACAGCTTATCACCAACCGACAATTCAAACATGATCGATACATATCTATATATTAAATCTTTATACAGAAGCTTTTATCCTAAAAGAATAGATTCCATCTGAAAGTTAATGAATAACAAATAAAATGATGTGATTAACTAGTAATTCAATATTAATTTAATATATTTTAGATTTTTATTAAACATACTACTTTATTGATAGAAGTGATTTTACATCGCTTCTAGGATCTTCATATAAAATTGTGGACATATATATATTTATGATTATCCACATTACGACGCACTCAACTTTTTTTTATAGTATAAGTTAAGCATAAAACTTATTTCTGAGATCCCTATATATACATAGATTCTAAGATGAAATCATTTACTATTGGATAACTCCTCATTTCTGTACAATTCTGTTCAATATAGAGATGAATTTCTCGTTATCTACACGTGTAATCATCTTACAATTGCGCCAACGCCCTCTCTTTTCCATCGAGGAATTCGTACCATACCAATCAATACACAACGCACCACGAGTCTCCCGGCCATGGAGTTCAATAGAACAATGCGTTATAAAACTCTCTAGGACAACCTCCGGGTGCAAGGCGACCACAATCGCCACCGGGTCGGGCACCACACACGTAATGTCCTGCGTAACCTCGGCATCCCCGGTGTCGGCCTTTTTCCCGTCTTCGTCTGGGCGTGTGAAGATCTCGAGACGTTTAAATATCTTATCAATGAACTCCTGAGTGGGGTTTCTCGGCTCGGACGAACCCCGGCCTATCCATTTATCATAATGCGCCCAACTCATCGGACACTGAACCGAGGGCTCCCATGGGATCAGCTGAATCGGCATCGCAGTCCTGTGATTCAAAACCGCAAAGGCGGCCTCTGGATCAGAAAGAAAATTGAACTCGGCGGCCATACTGGAGTTCCCTTTCCCCTCGCTGGTTCCTCCCATTACAGTAATACCCAATTCGGTCTCGCTCCCGAGCACCTTAAAGGCGTCAGCGTCCAGACGAAGGGCGATCGCAATATTCGTCAGTGGGCCCAGACACACCAGCTGATAAACCTCATCTTTTTTCTTTTTAATGTCTCGCAAAATGTGTGTTAAAGCGACCGCCGCATGAAGTTTGGACTGTTTCGCAACCCGTTTGGAGTTCGGGATCGCCGCATCCCCAAAGCCGTCGCTCCCGAACCCACCCCACGCCGTCGTCTCATGTAACCCAAGAAGAGACTCATCTGCGCCTTTATAGAACGGGATATCTATATTGTAGTGATCAAGTAATTTGCCAATATTTTCCATTCCTTGATCAACACAGACGTTTCCCCAAACAACTGTAATGGCGATAATTTCCGTATTGGGGTCAGAGAGAGCCGCCATGATGGCAACAGCATCATCGCTGCCGCAGTCTGTGTCGATAATAATCTTTCGCTTTAGCATCGAGTGATAAAAACTTCGATATAATGAAAATAAGCTGAAATAAATAAATAAATCGTATAGTGATAAAATCTTTGACTTGAATATAGATATTGAATTTTTTTTTCAGTTAAATGAAAACTACAATCTGCCTACAATTGGTACCTAAATAAAAAAAATAAAGATCTAAAATGTTTCGAAGTGTAATCAATTATGAATCGTAGACGGCGCTACAGCCCCAACAAGAGCGAAATAAACATAAATTCTAATATCAGTCAATAGCCATCCTTGAATCGAATTACCAATTGACTTAGCAGCATTAGACACTACAATCGCTAGATAACGGTTTCAAAGACTCCATCAGTAACTTGGTCAGGCATTTATGTTGTGATTCTGGGTCGTGATAGCAATGGTGATGATGAAATTTCTAGATCTGGAAGTCTCCACTACGTTTTACTAGTAAGTACCTACCGTTTTGTAAATTTTAGTAGGCGCGTCGCTGCGTGGGTGCTGTCGTTCTGGATGTGCTTTGACGTTTTGCTTTATTCGTCTCCACACGCATTTTTGCGATCTCCGTCATCAATCGCTCATAAGTAGTTTGATAAGGAAAAGTTTTTGATATGGATTTAGGACCCAGTGTTCTTCGCTTCTCGATCTTCGAAGGCAGGGAAGTGGGTGGTAAATTTGAAATGGTGGCATTTAATGCCGCCAGTGAATTTGTATAAGCTTTGTTGATACGCGTGATAGATTCGGAAACCAGATCTCGACGCCGTTCGGTTTCATTCATGCTTGTGTCTGCCTCTGCGCCGCCGTATGCAGAAGACTGAAGAATGGTAAAAGCGGTGAAATCTGAATTACGCATCAAACCCAGGTCACGCCGCCCAATGTGATGAAGGCTAGACGTAACATTAGTAAGCATCTTGAAAATGTCGTAGTCCGATAAGATAAAGAGCTTGTAGACTTGATCTCGAATATTTTCGTCCATTTCTAGATACCTGGTACCCTCCTCATTAGGTACCATTTTTTGTGCATCTGATTCGAGATTTTCCCATGCTTGTACGGTAATTGGTGATTGTTTGGCCGTCAATGGCATTGGTAATGGTGGCGCAGGGACAAATGCCGTTGGTGGTGGTGGTGGTGGGACCACACTTGTTGGAGGAGGTGGAACCACACTTGTTGGAGGAGGCGGGACCACACTTGTTGGAGGAGGCGGGACCACACTTGTTGGAGGAGGTGGGACCACACTTGTTGGAGGAGGCGGGACCACACTTGTTGGAGGAGGTGGAACCACACTTGTTGGAGGAGGTGGGACCACACTTGTTGGAGGAGGTGGGACCACACTTGTTGGAGGAGGTGGGACCACACTTGTTGGAGGAGGTGGGACCACACTTGTTGGAGGAGGCGGGACCACACTTGTTGGAGGAGGTGGGACCACACTTGTTGGAGGAGGTGGAACCACACTTGGAGGAATGGGAATTGACATTTCGATTTTATAAGACTCAAGGTTCGGCACTGACAAGAAAAGAGCTGGAAAACAAGGATGTGGGAGCTTTATTAGAAATAAGTGGTGTTCATAATGCATTCAACGAAATACCGCGTGCATATAACAGTCTTCATTCACCCCTTTTTGTTGTGTACACAAGAAATAAATAGTTCGTTATAATTCGCTCCTTAGATTTTGGCAAAAAAAAATAGTGCATTAAACTTCATCAGCGGTCTTTTTTTTAAGTTCGCCTCGGTCATATGACGCCTTTGTTTGGGGGTCATGTAATATTTTATAAGCCTCAATAATTTGCTGTATGTATGCTTTTGAGTTGTTGTCTTGTGCCGTGTTAACATCGGGATGATGAACTCGCACAGATTGTCGGAAAGCTTTCGATATGTCCTTCGCGGTCGCGGTCAATTCCCGTCCCTTCAACCCCAGTAGCTCATAGTACCCTAGAGGATCGACGTCCTCCAAGTCCGTCCGGCGGCGGTTGTGAGGGTCAAAGTGCGTCCCCTGGTGGCGAGCCCTATCCCGCGCCGCCTCCTCCTTGACCGAGCGCTCAAAGGCCTCCTTCTGCCGCGCGCGGCGGCGGAGCTCCTCGCGGGACTCG